AAGTTTTCTTGACTTTTTAGTTTGAATTTTGTTGTGACGATGATACCTTGCTCTGTTGATGTTTGTCATATGACCTTTTCACCAGAATCGAAGGAGATTGCCTCGGAAACAGCGTCAGCATAAAAGTTCCAGTAAAGCAATCGACAACTGGTCAAGAGGAATGCGCCATCGTCTTCTGGTGAAATCGACCTTTGAATATTTTCTTCAAAGACTTTCACTCGAAATGGAAGTAAGCTTAAAAATAAAAAAAATTAATCTGACTGTCATCCGACAGGTAGTCTAGGGCGTTTTTTTCATTTGGCTGCACGTATTTTGGCATATCTAAGAAGTGGTTTGACCTCGCTTTCGCATCTTGAGGCGAGAAGCGTTCATTGTCCGAATTCCTCTGTCAGAGTAGTCATGCATAGTCTCAGCGTCGGACCGTGGACTTGGTACATTCTCCAACGCTTCGCCAGCTTCGTAGTCGACATCCTCAATGGATCCTGTCATTCTTTACTCCAGGTTAAAACTGGTCAAGGGGACAAATGACAAGAATTGCTGACGATGCCGACTACAATTCCGGCGAAACGTCTGGGAGTGCACATGGTACAGGGTCTGGCACTGGGAATCAGCATAGCTAATACGGCACAGAAATTCGGACATGGTGTGATCATCACAGTCGCCTTGACAACACGACCAGGTTGCAAAAAGGAGCTCAAACCACTTTTGTGCAACTAAAGGAGACTGTGACCAAACTAGAGTCCATAATGTCTTGGTCGTCATAGCTGCAAAATGACTTATTTTGTTGACTGCTTGAGAAGCACCGACTGGCCAAAATAGTAAAGACTTTTCACTTGCTGAATGCCCGATTCCCTCGTGAAGCTTACCTTCTGGGGTCAAATTTAAATAAAATGATAATCGAATTTTTTATAATAAAGATGATGATACCAATTAAAATAATGTTGGCTCAACCTGGTTTTCGCAACTTTGTCGGAGCGTCATGGAGTCCTTGTGGAACGTACCTAGTCCCGCACCCCTTCGTGATTTCCAGCATTGGACCATTGGCCGGGTACATTCCCAAACGTCTCGCCATCGTAAGTACAGAGTTACAACTTATCAAAGGGCTTACGACGGCTCGTCTCACTGACGATGCCGACGAGACGTTTGGAAATGTATCCAGCCAATGGTCAAATGTTGGAAATCGCGAATACTATTATGACAGGGGATATGAGAGTAGGTACGTTGCACAAGGTCTCCATGACGCTCCGATCAAGTTGCGAAAACAAGGTCGAACCAGCGCAATAAGCTAAAGGAGACTGCGGCAAACAGAAGGCCACACCATTTTGGTCTTCATATCTACAATAATTATTAGAGTCTGTGGGTTTTATACTCACCATTTAATGCTTCTGACGAAGCCCTATAGGATCCCTGCCAGATGTATAATATCAGATAAAAGCCAAGATACATCCTGACGGCGAATTATGTACAGACTGGTTGAGCGCTGCCTTCGTTTCTGCAATACTAAGCCGGTTCATGTCAATATCGATAAGTGCTTCTCCCGACTTTGGGAATCAGCCTCTGCTCGGCCGGCCAGCCGGCTCGGATTGGTGCAGAGCTCGGCCAATCACCGGCGGCCAATCAGTGAGCAAACTGCCCTGGCCGGCCAGACTGACAGACCGCCAGATTGTAGAAAGCCCTGGCAATTTATCGTCAACACGCCCAGAGTTCATACTCACAAAAGCAAAGTCTTCCGTACCTCCCAAGTTGGTGGCCAGTTCATCCGCCGAGGCGATGAAGTCAGTGCAGCACTACAATTTCATTCGGTCTTGGCGCAATTGCTTGCGTAGCGGTTATGATGAATCTCCGGCTAGTTTGGAATGTACTTTCGACCTTGCCTAGGTCTCACCAACATCCCTAAAGGCAATCAGAACTGAGTCGTGAGTATCGTGGCGATAAATTGCTATTCCGCCAAATGGGCACGCCGCCAGTGGCAGATGTGATATTCAAGACAAGCCAGGCCTCTTCAAAATCGCATTTACAATAAGTCTTTTGATTAATTAAGAATGGATTTGCCAATTTCAGTAAAAGAAGTTACTCATTTTTTTTGCATAAGCTGGTTGGTTATTCTTGAATAACAGTATATTCACTCTACTTATATCGAAGATAAGTAGTGTCATGGATTGAACTGGCAATTAAATTTTGCTTTATCGATAATCCAACTACAAAATATCATACTATGAGATGTATTCATTCAATTTCGTTTAAGGTGATGAAATTGGGTGGATACACCTCATATTATTGATTTACCGGTAGTCTCGAAACAAAACTTAAAAATGGGAAAAATACAAAATATCAGTTGGAAGAAATTCGGCGTGCCTTAAATGTTGCATCTGCCCTGTTAGCCACTGGCGCCAATGGTTGTGCAGTGGAGTGGTGACGTCGCCACAATACCTACGACACGGTATCGAATTCCGCCAGGACTGCTGATGTCGAAACGGCGGTTTAGTCTGGAGGCTATCGACTTTTTGGAGGCTGGATTAAGTGATATTCAATGGGATCGTTATGCCTATTCATTTCAACAATCTAGTCGATTCGTAAAAAGAGCTTAGCCTCTTCGCCCTATCATCTGGCTTGATAAATACATTTGAGGTCTCCTTAGGAACCTACTGAATGGAAATATTTGGAATAATAGTGGACTGAGGTAAGGAAGATTCTTGAGGGGTAGTTCGTTGTATGACGGTTTATTATGACCTTTTCTATTTATAACTGGATACACTTATCCTGAGAGATCCACCTGGAAGTGTAGTGAAGCTAACTTATGAAACAGGCAACATGGAGGCGACACTAATTAAGTGAAACTAAACGACAAATCTTTACTTTTCACATGAAGTTAAGGCTGCATGTAAGCGATAAATGAATGAAAAAAGTTCCAAGACTTCGATCAAACTATCCATATCTAACACTCTCTCAGGATACTTCCGGGCATACACAACCTCCTCCGCTCTCACAAATGTAAGAAATTCCATGTTGCTGATGTTTATCCAAATTCTTTTACTCTAACTTAACCGCTTGACACAAAACTTTTTATTTATTTTTTCGTTATTAACTTCAACAAAGTGAGGTTCTTACGCATTGTATTTACTAGGTTTTGAAAGCCTTTCGAGATGGTGTAACCCTGACTAATCTTTTTCCGGGTATAAGCATTATGCCAGATTTATTTTCCTTTGCATCTCTTGGGCACTTAATGTTCGCACTGAAAAAGCGAGATCTTATTTGTCCAATAGTGGAGACTGCTCGTGGCCCTTGGCATCTGGACTGAGGCTTCAGATAGACTCAAAAAGAGCTGAAATGGGAGTAGTTATGTGGAAGGATTTTGGCTCAGTGACCTTTTGTGCTGTCACAGCAGTCAATTTCCTTTCAACTTTAGTTATTAGAATTCTGCTTATACAAATTTAATCTTTAACCCACTAATTCGGTATAAATTGGCCTTATGACAATGCCCGTTTTGAGTATGCCGCAAGGCGTCTTCCTTTGTGTGGTATGCCCCCCCCTTTACTTGTCGCTTCTTCTGATGCTCTTCTTTATTGATAGAAAAATCAAGGGTAAAAGTACTCGATCGCGTAAATTTTATTGAGGCTTATTCGTGCAAAATAAATCGGAAATGTAAATTTGTAGGTAAATATTGTTGATGCTATGACAGTTAATACTGGTAGATGTATTTAGATGGTCTAGTGCTTTTCGCTGCCGGGTTGGTGTCGGCCAACAACTTGAAATCCTTTCTCATTACCTTTATCTTACACAATTTATGAGCTAGTTTGGAAGTTGCAAGATAATCCATTCTTATCAAATTATCTGACAACCTGAAATCAAAAGAAAATTGCCTATGGTACCAAGCACCCCTCACCCTTTTCAGCTATGATCCGAATTTACAGTGAACCGTTGATTTTCCCTTATGATTGGATAATGATGGGTTTATCGTACTACAATCATAACTTCCAGTCTTAGTTATCTATTTGATGATTTCATCTCATACTAAACCTTTTGTCATTGATTTCAATTCTTCTTCCAGCATTGCAAAAGTGGCTAGATACATTCTATGACGCTTCGTAAATATTGTCAAAGATTAGGTTATTGAAAATGTTCTATTCAAACTAGTGTAGGAAAGCTGAAATCCGATCATATTTTACGTTAAATTAATTATTTGAGTAAACTCATAAAAGTTGACTAAACTATTCTACTTGCTTTGCTTCTTGAATTTTCACTTGCCGGTAATATATGAAATTTTTTAATGTAATAGTCTTACTAAATTTTGTAGAGAGATGATAAAAAACGATAATAATTAGTTTGTACTTAAAAGTATCTGCAAATATAAAGCTAAGCCATAACCACTTTAGAAGCTTATCTTCTATTTACTTATACATATAGTCCAAATTAACATTTCATAAAAAAGGAGTTTAAACCTAGGAAGGACATTATC